ACTACCACCGATGGTATTCCTGATTGTGGTGGACTGGATTATGCATCAGACTGTGTGTGTGTGTGTGGAGTGAGAAGACAGGAATACGCTGGGGCACAAATAAGAAGACCCTAGGAGACCTGGATTTCGAAAATGATTTATGTTTAATATCACACAGACTTGAAGACCTACAGGCGAAAACTGAAAAAAACTGGTTGAAGAAGCAGGCGGTGAAGACAGGACTCCAGATGAACATAGGTAGGCTTCGTGTGCTTTTGGAAGTCTTCTCTGAGCATCACTTTCCCTTAGAGAAGACGGGAGTGATGAAGATAACCAACCGACAGGAACAACAATAGACGCAATAAATTTGAAGGAAGTCACTTCCTTCACTTTTCTGGTTAGGAAGAACAGTTTCAACCACATATGGAACGGATGATATCGAAGCCAGAATCGAAAAGGCATGGTATACCTTCATATCACTCTGAAACCAGTTTGGAACTCTTCTGCACTCCGCAGGATAAAGAACAAGATTCGAAATTTCAACGTAAACAATAGTCAGTCGGTGCTTTTATACGGGTCAGAAACTTGGCAGGTGTACCACGGAAGGCATTTTGCAACAGGCTACGGCAGGCTTTTATCAACAGCCGCCTTTGCTATGCTGAAGATCAAATAGCCTGGAAAAATTAGCAGCAAGCAACTTTGAGAATAAACCAATCAAAAACCTACTGCTCAACAAATATATAGAAGGAAATTAAGATGGTCCGGACACAAGATGGGGAGACCGTTGGGGGATATCGCACGCCAAGCCGTTGCTCTAGTGGAACCCAAATGGGAAATGACGAGTTGGGTATGCGTCTGAGGGTGATATGGAGGAGATTGTGTGTCGAGACGGAGATGAGAGATAATGGGTAACCGTGGGCCCAGCTGAAGAGGAGAGCAGAAAATAGAACATATGTTCCACCCGGAACTCAAAGGAACAAGAATAACATAATATAGTACCTTTCTCATTGCATTAAACTATTTTTGGTAAATTGTTTTCCAACCGAAATCAGTGCCGCCTTCTTGATTTATCGTTCTTTCTGGTTATTTCCGACCAGCGTTTTTACAACTTGACTTATATTCATTCTGTTATTCCTTAACACAATCTTGCACACTTTTCACATAAAAAACACCAATGACAAATTCACGTATGTGTATAATCAGATTGTTCAAAATTTGTTTTGTTCAAATTGCCTAACACGATTCAAACAATAAATGATAAATAATCTTAAAATTCTATTTCCATTCAAACACATCAACACATTCTAACAATCAACTTATTATGACTATAAAAACACTCGTCGTATTTCCCATCTAATTGCAATGGATTAATAACACTCGTACTATTATTTCTGAATGTACATTATCTCATATTGAATTTTATTCCAATATCTAGTCGATTCCATACATATATATATAAATGAAGGAAAGAAGTTGTGTGAGTAACTTGATATGATTATGAGCAATAGTTTGTGCTCGAAACGTCATCAGTTAATATAACTGTACTACACTGTGTGATTTATCAAAATAAAATCTTATCCATTATGGAATTATACTCTACCACAGTGCCCAAGTTTTATACTTATATCAACGATTCAAACAAAAGTGGTCTAATCAATGAGACAGCCTAAATATCACTCTCACAAGCAGCGGAAGTGAATATTGCTCACATCATATATCGATAAATGCAGACATTTTCAGTGAGTTTTTTTATTAATATATGCACACCTTTTTTATTATTTTATTTTATTTGTTTTTGTTCCCAGTGAAAAATAGGGCTTCAGACTAGAGCTTCAAAACTGCAATAGCAGTGGTATTTTTTAAGGGATGACTTTGCTGACCTCACGCCCAATCTTCCCTCTTTATCGGGTTAATTACCGGCTAAGCGAGGTCAAGGTATGCGTTGGCCGTGGATCGAACTTCAGACCGCTTGCGTGGCTGGCCAGTGTTCTACCACTAAGCCACCAACGCTAAATATATATATATATAGTATGCAAACCCATTGGAATCATCAACAAATGCTAAGCAAAGCTAAGCACAATTTCAAACCCTGGGAGTAATAAGTTACTTTTACTTATCATTGATTTCAACTATGAGTCTCTAAATTCGTCTTTATTGCACAAATACATTTTGGATAGGTTGCTTCATTGTGAAGTAATATCATCATCACTCATTACTAATTCGGCAACAAACAAGCCCTATTATTTACTGCATCCATGTTCCTAAGGATGGGGGAGAAGATTCGTATAGAGGCGAAAGGCAGAATATGAAGGCTCACGGCTCACTACTGGTTAGGTGGTACTCAGAGGTTAGAAAACCTTGGCTTTACACCAAGTAACGGTAAACATTGGACTCAGAATCCACAAAAAAAACGAAAAATGATGTGTACACATTCAATCTGATCACCGACATCGCCCTGCCGCTATGTTAACGACTCGCGAAGTTGCAGTTTGAAATAAAAATATTGTTTAATTATTTTGTGTTGCACACCTTGTATTCTTGTTGCCCAAGTTTTCGCTTAAAATCAAAAAATGCTTTCGTCACTGACTACCTTCTATAGCATCACTATTATTACTAGTCCCCTGGGTTCTAAGTGGGAAATAGAATCTTTCAACAGGACATCTCGATTTCACTGGTTTTACGATCGTCTATAAGGTTTCATCTTCTCTTCCGCATACCGTCTCCTTCATGTAACCCACAGACGCCCAGCTAGTCGTCTCCCACCTAAGTGTTTCCCCCGTGATGTCACATTCAAGAGTTTCTCCAGTGTGTGCCCGATCTATCTCTATTTCTTTCAGTACATTTCTGGGCGACTGATTCTTGGTTGGTTCCTTGCAAAAAAGTTGGCCCACCCCCCCCAGGAATCGAATCCAGTAACCTACCCACGTCATAAAACGCACACGTTGCCATCTAGCTATTAGGTTGGAAAGGACTGGTGAAAGTATTCTAACCTCCGTTAAATTCACATAGAACAAGGAAGGACGAGGGATTTCGATGTATGAAGAGCTCTCATTAGAAGGAAAAACAAAGTTCCAAATTGAATTGTAAAGCTCATATAATAAAGTTGGGCTGAAGGACTAGAATTCGGAAGCCATCAGCTTCAAATTCAGTCATTATGATTATTATGTGTGTAACACATGGGCACTGTGGTAGTATGTAGTTCCGTGTTAATTAGTTTGTCGAATATATCACACGATGAATTAACAGTCTTATTAACTGGAAGATGACAATTCGAACGCAATTCACTATTGTTTGTCGCCATATCATCGATTCAAACTACACAACTTTAAAACCTCATTTCTATAGCTCTCATCCTACTTTTTCACTTGTCTTAGCGGTAGTAAAATTCTCCAGATGTCCGGGTGGAGAGAAGTTAAATTATTCTTGTTGCACTATTGTCAGGTCAAAGTAGTAGGACGCGACTACTTAGAATACCGCAGCACAAAAACTTAACAAAATCTAGATTAGTTGACCCTAATAAGATAAGAAATACAGAAAACAGCTCAGCTACAGTACTATATGCAGTCGCATACAACTATACAATAGGCAGGCACAAGATAACAGTCTTAAAACCTAGTATAACAGGGTGGAATAAGGGGTTTGATAACGGAAGCTTTCTTCATCGGGCCAAGTAAGAACACGTGCAAAGGAATGGTTCAGCATCTGTTCACTCGGCCATCTGAAAAACTCTATTGCCCCTACGACAAATTCGAGAGAAGAACGAGGTCTATAAAAACCAAGTTATAATCGATATGATTATGAACAATAATATGTGTTCAAAATGTTGTTATCCAGTAAATAGTGCTGTTGTTTCACTGTGTGATATATCAAATAAACAAATCAATCTGACAAGGTTACAGTGACTGAATGATTGATTGACTTATCAGCTTAGAACTCCTTTTTTCACATAAAAATGCTCCAGTTTAAAGTTGCCACATTTTGCGAAAACACGATTAATAAAAACCAGAGGAAAAGCAATTGCGATGACAATGTAATAGATGAAGATGTTAAGGAGACAGGAATAGAGTTAGGGGTAAAATCAGACGAAGGTCAGTGAGGATTTCTAGAATCTGAATGATGACATTAAATGAAGACATCTCCACCACTGTGAACAACTTTGAACCATTCGTCGGATGGTGACTAGCAGTGGGACCTATTTCGTCCCATTTGGAGCTCGTCAACTGGATGTGCCTAGTGAGTAATGGTGTCTCCACCGAGACTCGCACCCAATTGATATGCAGACAGATAAATAGTGGATTACCTCTTATTGGTGATATGGCGACCGATGTCCAGTCCGAAAATTGACCAATCAGAATTGGCCTATGTAAAGTGAAGCCCACTATTTTACTGATCATGATTATAGACTAATTCAAATATCCTTAGTGATTTTTTGTAATCATATATTATTATTGCGACAAATATACCTTGCAGCTCACATTGTTGTGTGTTCTCGCTTACGTGGGGTGGGCTGGGGAAACAGGTAGCTGACGTTTAAAGTTGTTGACTGTATTCGTGATCATCACGTATGTGTGTCTAACTCAGCGTCGCTATTTCGACCTCAGCGTATTAAGAATCATAACACCGGTTACCCATTGTTTCAAACGCTAAAGCATAATGCACTGGGTCCAAAGCACCACCTCTTGTGCACAAGGGCATCAGTTATTACTCGTCTTGCATTCAGTTTTGATTTTTGCCGTTGACTGATTCCATCGCTGGTCACAGCATCCAACAAAATTACTTCAAGTTATGCACCAATCATCTCATCGAGGCGTGCATACTATGAGTCGACATGTCAACAACAATGGCTGAATATTTCGGTCAAATCACAATCAACGGCGAAAATCAAAAGTGAGTCAAAAAAAATTTTTTAAAGAAAGTAACTTTGAGTTATGTCACGAACAATCTCAAAAAAATAGTGTTAGAAAATTAAGAATATCATTGAAAACAAACATTGAAAAAAAAAAAACAATTAAACAGCTTACTTGAAGTTCACGTATAATTTGTGTTTTAACAATTGGTTTTATCTCCAGATGAATATTTTTCTTTGCCATAATTAAACCAGTAGCTGTATGACGTACACGACTGACTACACCACCGTTACCTTTGCCAATTTCACTTAATTTTTCAAAATCTTCTGGACGTAATTCACCAATTTTTTGTTTATCTGCTACAAATGCACTTAAACGACGACGTTGATTATCATCTAAGTCTTGTATTTCTAATTGTTTTAAACTGTTTTATGCATATTTGTTTATTTATTTTAATGATATAATGCGAAGAGATGAGAAGGAATGATGGATGACAGTTGGGAGCAGAAAGTAGACAAACAAACATAAGACATAATTTTATTAGAGTTCAGTGATTTCAAAGAAACATTAAAATTTTCAAGTATTGGTTTTGTAGGGATTTTTTGTTTGATTGGTTGGAGGATTTCATCATGAGCTGATATCAGTTAGAGAACCATTGGAAAACCAGCACTGGAGTCCCATTTTGGGGCTCTTCATCGGTATGCACTCACCACTGAGGTTCGAACAAACGACCTTCTGGTTACAAGGCGAGCTAGCTCGCATACCATTAAGACACTGGGACCCGATCCGATGGCCAGCCAGCCCTTGAATTCTAACTTCTGCCAATTCATGACACAGCGCGACCACTTCTCAATGTCTTCTTCGATGAGTTAACGCCTCACCTTCAACCTGCGGCACCCTACTGGTCACGGCTTCCCACTAGGACCCCAGGTCACTGCCTGAATAGAGCCAGTCGCTAGTGAGCATCAGGTATTGGTCTTGAACCCCGGTGGGTGCGTACTACTGCGGAGCCCCAAATTAGTCTGACAAAACAGCTGCCCACTACTCCAGTGCTGATTTTCCAATGGTTCTCTAACTGATGTCAGCTCATGATGAAACTCTCTAATCAATCAAATATGAAAATGATTGAAAATTGAAAATTACGAATTCGACTGAAGGTCGCCCAATTTGCTAACTAACCACCCAGAAATCGGCTCTCTGAACTCATTTAAACAGGGCACACTGAACTGATGAGCTCAACCGGAAAAGAGCGAAACGGTCATCACTTCGATAATCTGGTTGACTAGCAAGCATTACTAGTTGATGTGCGGGTGGTATACTGAACTATTGAAAACCAGCCAGGAGTACTGGACAGTTGTTTCATGTCAGTTTATGACTTAACAGCAGTACTCACGTATGACTCGACAGAGGCTCAAACGCAGGATCTCCAAGTTAAGAGGATAGCCCGTTGATTATTCAGCCAATAGGTAGGAATACAATAACGAATGAATTCATGACACAAATAGTGCCACCGCCAGCGAATACTATCTGAGAGTATCTGGTCTCAAATCCGACTTGGTGGAACCCAATAAACACTTATTCCAAAAATAACTTTAAGCACTCGTGAATCTCGTGAATCAGTTACCAGTGCTCATTAGACTGGTTATTCTTCGATCCTCTACAGGTTCGGTCATAGGTGAGTACTGTTGAGGAGTTGCAAACTACAAACGAAACAACTTCTGGTTCTCAATTATTCTCAAATTGATTTCAGCCCCTGATCTTACTTGAAATTCTGACGATGGTTATGATAATAATAATAATAATAATAATAATAATAATAATAGTAATAGTAATAGCACGTTATTTCTTAGCTGTGTTGTCATAAATTCAAAAAACACATATTTCAGAATCTATCTACAAATGATTGAAAATAATTACAAATAGATGAAATTTGTTTTCATCTCTGGTTGTCATGGTTTCCGATCGAGAAATGTTTGTCGACATACATAAATATTACCCTACTAAAACGGTAACACAGTAACTTAACAACGATGCTTCTTAATGCCTACTACTCTCCATTTTTCAAGTAAGCATGTACGCACACACACACACATACAAACCTAGATATCTACAGAACTATATCCTGAGACAGACTATGCGTCAGTCTTTGGCAGAGTATGTAACATCTACAGCCCACTATTATAGATAGGTATATATATATATATATATATATATATATATATGTATATATATAGTCAGAGGAGCGCGCTCATACACACGTGCATTGATATATGTACACACATACATCACATACACCTTTACAGCCTATTCAATGTAGTTGCTTTCTACAGTACTCTTGATGCAATTAATGATAATAGAGTAATGGTTGTAAACTGTGATTTATCATCATTGTATTTTAATTACAATAAATAGCAATAATAATAATGAAAGCTATACATCACTAATAAAAGTCATATCACACATAATGAAACGAAATGAAATATAAAGGAATTGGTATACACAAACATCCACACACACACACACACAAACTCATACACAAAGAGGAGAGAAAGGAAAGAAACGTTACTCTTCTGAATATATATATATATATATATAAGGATGTATTAATAACGAAGTAAAGCCATTAGAAGAAGAAATTATTGATTTGACAGTGATGCTTGATTAACCATCTCAACAACAGAGAGAGAGAGAGAAAGGTAGGCAAAAGAGTAACTTGAGTTATGTATGCTTCCATGACTGAAATTATAGCTGATTTGTTTAATTAAGTGCATACACGATCAGAACTCGGGAGAATTATTATACGTGTATACATACAACAGTTGACGCACTTAAACACCACTCTCTCTCTCACACACACACAGCCTATTCCTTTAGAAACAACTAGGGTATGAATAAAACCGGTTCTATACAATCTTAGAGTTAACGAGTAGTACTGTGAATGCATGCCAAATGTACTTAGAATGTTGTTGTTGTTGTTTTTGTTGTTGTTTTTTCAAGGTGTCTGGAAAAATCTAAGCTCCATCTAAACTCTAATCTAAAAAAGTATGGGTTAATTCGTATTATGTGAACAGATACTGATGTGTACAGTAGAGGTTATAAGTTATACTTAATATATGAGACAACTTGAAAAACTATCAGACTGTCGCAACAACAATAAATACGGCTGGACTGAAATCTTTGGTATAATCTATCTTGGTAGATAGTGTCAAAATTGTTGACCTATTTTAACTGCTTGAATTAGCATATATATATATATATATATATATATATCCCCCTGTTTCACAATTAGCCTATCTTAATATATTCAAAAAGAAACTGATGATAGGACATTATTGTGTGAATGGCATTACGAGATTCCATGAAAGCGACGATAAGCGGTAAGCAGGAAAAGAACATTCTTTTCGACATATTCGTCATCACACGTTCTACGATTATGTGACCATAATAATAATTAAAGAAATTTTGCTACTAACACTTTATCAACAGCATCGACAGATTCCACTTCAAAAGCACCAGTCAGAGAGAGAGAGAGAGGGAGAGATAATATGCATTCTTCTATAATTTGGTTTGTAAGGATTAGTTATGTTTTACGAGTTGATCACGGACTGATATCAGTTAGAGAACCATTGAAAACCAGGGAGTACTGGACAGCTGCTGTTTCATCCTAGTTTGGGAATCATCGGCAGTACGCACCCACTGGGATTCGAACCCGGGACCTTCCGGTTACAAGGCAAGCTCGTATACCATTCGGCCACTGGGACCCGATTCAATGGCTCATGAATTCTAACTTCTACCAATTCGTGATTTTAGCGCGACCCCAACTATTGTCGTTGGTGGAAATCCATCCACACGTGACTTCTAATTGGACCTCACTGGTCACGACTTCTCACTAGAACTGCAGGAAACTCCAACCTGTAGCAAGTCACTAGCGAGCATCAGAATAATCTTCTATAATTTGGTTTGTAAGGATTAGTTATGTTTTACGAGTTGATCACGGACTGATATCAGTTAGAGAACCATTGAAAACCAGGGAGTACTGGACAGCTGCTGTTTCATCCTAGTTTGGGAATCATCGGCAGTACGCACCCACTGGGATTCGAACCCGGGACCTTCCGGTTACAAGGCAAGCTCGTATACCATTCGGCCACTGGGACCCGATTCAATGGCTCATGAATTCTAACTTCTACCAATTCGTGATTTTAGCGCGACCCCAACTATTGTCGTTGGTGGAAATCCATCCACACGTGACTTCTAATTGGACCTCACTGGTCACGACTTCTCACTAGAACTGCAGGAAACTCCAACCTGTAGCAAGTCACTAGCGAGCATCAGAATAATCTTCTATAATTTGGTTTGTAAGGATTAGTTATGTTTTACGAGTTGATCACGGACTGATATCAGTTAGAGAACCATTGAAAACCAGGGAGTACTGGACAGCTGCTGTTTCATCCTAGTTTGGGAATCATCGGCAGTACGCACCCACTGGGATTCGAACCCGGGACCTTCCGGTTACAAGGCAAGCTCGTATACCATTCGGCCACTGGGACCCGATTCAATGGCTCATGAATTCTAACTTCTACCAATTCGTGATTTTAGCGCGACCCCAACTATTGTCGTTGGTGGAAATCCATCCACACGTGACTTCTAATTGGACCTCACTGGTCACGACTTCTCACTAGAACTGCAGGAAACTCCAACCTGTAGCAAGTCACTAGCGAGCATCAGAATAATCTTCTATAATTTGGTTTGTAAGGATTAGTTATGTTTTACGAGTTGATCACGGACTGATATCAGTTAGAGAACCATTGAAAACCAGGGAGTACTGGACAGCTGCTGTTTCATCCTAGTTTGGGAATCATCGGCAGTACGCACCCACTGGGATTCGAACCCGGGACCTTCCGGTTACAAGGCAAGCTCGTATACCATTCGGCCACTGGGACCCGATTCAATGGCTCATGAATTCTAACTTCTACCAATTCGTGATTTTAGCGCGACCCCAACTATTGTCGTTGGTGGAAATCCATCCACACGTGACTTCTAATTGGACCTCACTGGTCACGACTTCTCACTAGAACTGCAGGAAACTCCAACCTGTAGCAAGTCACTAGCGAGCATCAGAATAATCTTCTATAATTTGGTTTGTAAGGATTAGTTATGTTTTAGGAGTTGATCACGGACTGATATCAGTTAGAGAACCATTGAAAACCAGGGAGTACTGGACAGCTGCTGTTTCATCCTAGTTTGGGAATCATCGGCAGTACGCACCCACTGGGATTCGAACCCGGGACCTTCCGGTTACAAGGCAAGCTCGTATACCATTCGGCCACTGGGACCCGATTCAATGGCTCATGAATTCTAACTTCTACCAATTCGTGATTTTAGCGCGACCCCAACTATTGTCGTTGGTGGAAATCCATCCACACGTGACTTCTAATTGGACCTCACTGGTCACGACTTCTCACTAGAACTGCAGGAAACTCCAACCTGTAGCAAGTCACTAGCGAGCATCAGAATAATCTTCTATAATTTGGTTTGTAAGGATTAGTTATGTTTTACGAGTTGATCACGGACTGATATCAGCTAGAGAACCATTGAAAACCAGGGAGTACTGGACAGCTGCTGTTTCATCCTAGTTTGGGAATCATCGGCAGTACGCACCCACTGGGATTCGAACCCGGGACCTTCCGGTTACAAGGCAAGCTCGTATACCATTCGGCCACTGGGACCCGATTCAATGGCTCATGAATTCTAACTTCTACCAATTCGTGATTTTAGCGCGACCCCAACTATTGTCGTTGGTGGAAATCCATCCACACGTGACTTCTAATTGGACCTCACTGGTCACGACTTCTCACTAGAACTGCAGGAAACTCCAACCTGTAGCAAGTCACTAGCGAGCATCAGAATAATCTTCTATAATTTGGTTTGTAAGGATTAGTTATGTTTTAGGAGTTGATCACGGACTGATATCAGTTAGAGAACCATTGAAAACCAGGGAGTACTGGACAGCTGCTGTTTCATCCTAGTTTGGGAATCATCGGCAGTACGCACCCACTGGGATTCGAACCCGGGACCTTCCGGTTACAAGGCAAGCTCGTATACCATTCGGCCACTGGGACCCGATTCAATGGCTCATGAATTCTAACTTCTACCAATTCGTGATTTTAGCGCGACCCCAACTATTGTCGTTGGTGGAAATCCATCCACACGTGACTTCTAATTGGACCTCACTGGTCACGACTTCTCACTAGAACTGCAGGAAACTCCAACCTGTAGCAAGTCACTAGCGAGCATCAGAATAATCTTCTATAATTTGGTTTGTAAGGATTAGTTATGTTTTACGAGTTGATCACGGACTGATATCAGTTAGAGAACCATTGAAAACCAGGGAGTACTGGACAGCTGCTGTTTCATCCTAGTTTGGGAATCATCGGCAGTACGCACCCACTGGGATTCGAACCCGGGACCTTCCGGTTACAAGGCAAGCTCGTATACCATTCGGCCACTGGGACCCGATTCAATGGCTCATGAATTCTAACTTCTACCATGCATTATTATAACATCAAACTAATTGGATACCAAATAAGTTAAGGGAAGTAACACAGAATTTATAGCGTCGACGGCAGCGCAGTGTAGCAAAGGTGACTGGCTAAAACTGTTACTTCGGCACACACACACACACACACACATACAGAGCGAATTTCAGTGGCCTCTGGTGTTTAGAGTGTTGTGTATCTAGAGGCCATTGGTAATTTATTCTATACCCATTGGATGATGGAGAAAGATTCTTCAGTGGCCTATTTGGACAAGGTGGTTCAATATAGAACTGTTGACGGTTTTAACAATAACCTGTACTTAAACACACTGGTAGGCGTTGCTGAGCACGAAAACTCAGGTCCTTATAGCAATGGCCAATATAACTGGATCCACAGGAGCAGTTGAACCGATATTTAGTGTAGTTTTATATTAACGCATATTATCTCTTACTGATGCTTTTGAAATGTAATCTATTGATACTGCTGATTCAATATAATTGAAAACATTGGTTCTGTAAGAACAATATTTTTCTAATTATTACTGTCACATGAATGTAGAACGTGATGAAGTTGACGAAAAGGATACTATTTGTTATCCAGTCGGTCAAGTTAAAGCATAATCATGTGTTGATAGCTCGTTAAGGTTACGTTTAGCGTTAGGGTTAAGATTAAGGTTAGGATTAGGACTAAGGTTGGGACTAGGGCTAGGGTTACAACTAGGGTTTCGATGAAGGTTACAGTTGTGCTTTATTTTTATAATCCGCATTTTTCGAGTGAATAGATGCTGACCTTCTTACTGAAACCCATACTAATTCAATCAAGAGCTTTTCGGGAAGACTAAAAAACAACAGGATAAGAGCGATAAATAGGTCATAAAAGGAATTCATCTTCAGTCGCCTCGATGAATACATGTGTAGACACTAGTCCGACTTAAAAACTGAAACTCCTCATTATAACTGGGAGATATTTTTAAAGCATTTCACTGAAAAATATGTTGTTTAGTGTGTTTTGTCATTATGATTGGTAGAATCAAAGCCAGTTGCCCACTAATCAGTCTTTTAAAAACAAAAGTTATTTACTTCTCATACAGAACTTACACTTCAGCAACATCAACAGGCCCGGTACTAATTCTGTTTGAATAACGATTTTCATTATTCCGATCTACTTTGGAGTTGAATAGATTACCGCCTGTTGGTGCATGAGTTTTTTTCGGAGATAAACGAAGATCTGTTAGGGGTGGTGGGATTCTACGATGAGCGGAATGTGGATGAGAATGATGAGCACTTGGTCGATAAATAGTAGTTTGTTGAGAGTTTTGTGAATAATGCTCAGATGAAATTATCACATTACCATCGTTTAATTTATCGAGAGTTGTACTGACTGTACTAGTTGAATTCCCATTTCTTTTCAATGATTCTGATACATTGTCTGAAGATGAGCGAAGAATATCAGAATTTGATCCAATCTCTTCAGGTTTCCTACCTGACAAAGAACTACTGTCTGATGACTGAATAGCAGAACTGGGAAGAGTGAGATTCAATCGATTGCGTTTGCTTCCGCTGCCTGAGGATGTTGACATTTAATTTGCTTTGATTTATATCCTGTTGTAATGAAATAAACAGACAATCAAAAATCATTGTTGCTAGGAAATTTCATATAAGTTACTTTTTTTCCATTTGCAGTTCTTAGAATATGAAGAGTCATACTAACAGAATGTGAATTCATTCACATTCTGTGTTTTATTATCAACTATTTTACAACCTGATAAAATATTATATATGCATAAATTGAGCACATAAGTGATTAAAGCGAACCACTGCTATCAATAAATCCTTCTTCAGCCCTTACAATTATAAATCCAGTAAATTTTACAACACCATATCGCAAGAAACAGTGCAGACTGGACTCCACATGAACGTCGAGAACACAGCACGAATCAGCAGCAAATGGAGAGACCTAGAGGAAGTCACCTGTTTCGCTTATCTCGGTAGCACGGATGAAGATGTTAAAGCCAGGATCAGAAAAAAAACGAGACAAGACAAAGCCTTCACTAGTCTGGAATCAGTTTGGAAATCTTCTGCACTCCACCGGAGCATAAACAACAAAATCTGGACTTTTAATGCTAATGTCAAGTCAACCACTGACTCTATGTAGCTCAGAGATTTCGTGTGCCACCAAAAGCATTTCTGACAGGCTTCAAACTTTTATCAACCAACAGCTGCCTTCACTGGTTCCATACTGAAGATCATATGACCAGAAAGGATTGGGCAACAAGGGACTCTGGTAAGAAAACCTACAAAGAACCAATTACTCAACAAATATGCAGAAGAAAATCGAGATGGGCTGGATATACGCTGAGGAGACCAATGAGTGACAAAGAGCGGAACCCGAATGGGAAATGATGGCTGGAGCGTCCGACGGGAAGGTGGAGGAGATTATACGAAGAAGAGATGACAGCCTATGGGCAATTGTGGAGCCAGCCAAAGACGACTGCAGAGGACAGAATGAAACGGAGCTGGTATGTTGAATTATAATAATAACAATATAATATAATAGCCAGTAAAAGCAAATTAGAACTATATCAGAAAGTGTATTGTGGTATAAGTACAAGATGAAACAATAATAATAATAACAGTCAGTGAGTTTTGATTATTATTTAAATCCATATAAAATGCGTACGATCAGTAAGAACATGACATAAAATGAGATGAAATAATTCAATGATGTGTGTTTATGTATATATGTATAGATACTCAACTTAAAGTACAAACTGCAACGGTGTGTGTAGTCAAAAGTGTGACATACAATATAAATACTATAAGGAAACAAACCAGTAAATAGAGTGACCTAGACGAAATGCAAGTGAAATAAATAGAAATAATAATCATATAGCAATAATAATAATCATAAAAATAATGCATTTATAATAGTAGAACCTGAAGAAGAATGTATTGCAAACAACTGTTCCATCCAATTATTCGTGTTCTGAATAAATTATAAGGATATTTGAAAATATACATATATGATTCAAGAGGAAATATACACCATACTTTTGTAAATTAGAAAAAGTTAATTTAGATAAAAGGCTTTGTAGATTGACTTACTCCCAGAGGATAGTCTCGTTCATCTACAGAATGCATATGATATAAGTCTTTCTAGGTGAAATAAAGTCAGCCTTCTGAACACGCTCAGCCAACATCTAATTATATATATATATATATATATATCGTATGTTAGATGGTGAAGTTCAACAATAGCGTCCTAGGAGTGCGAACTCTCCAATGATATTGGACGCATGCCAGTCGTTGGCTAACGGCACCTGCCATTATCATAGCTGAAATATCAATGCTATTCACCAGCTAGGCAGCAAATTTCACCCAGATCACATTTCTAAGTAATGTTTCGACAATGTGTTAATAGCTCGTTAGGGTTAGGATCAGGGTTATAATTAGCCTTAGGGTTAGAATTACGGTTTGGATAAGGGTTATGATTAGAGTCAGGATTAAGTTTAGGCTTACGATTAGGGATAGGTTTATAATTGATGTCATTTATTTTAATTTGTTTTATTATCCGCATTTTCCTGTTAAGTAGTCATCGATCCTCTTACTGGAAACCATAGTAATTCAACCGAGGGCTTTTAGGGAAGACTGCACGACAGGATAAGAGATAAACAGTTCACAAAAACAGCTCATTTTTAGTCACCTCGGTGAATACATGTACAGAAACTAGCAACTGATACTCCTCACTATAACTGGGACGTATTTTTAAGTCATGTCAGAGAAAGATACTCTGTTTAGTGTTTTCATGCATTTTCTTGTAAATATACGTCACTTTTTGTGCAAAAATTTTTCATTTTTATGATTGGTTGGCTGAGGATCACCTGTACGTCCGCATCCCTTGGGACGCTACTGTTGAACTTTACCTGTTAGATGATCCGCCCAGGATTGGTATAAAACCGAATTCTAGTCTAGGGTTGGGGAATGAACTATTTTGAATGAGCCAATCACTCCACTTATTCGGAAAATCGCATCAGTCATAATGCACTGATTATTAGTGAAATCACAGTATGCATGCCGAAGACTGTATTTGCCAGACTTCGTTCTCTTTGACACAGGCATATCTAGCTATCTATCAAATAATGTGTATCATGCTCCAATCTGCTATGTACTTCTTTACGGCTGTCAGATATGGATGTTGAAAGTGGTAGATATGAAGAAACTAGCAGTTCTGAACATAAGTCTTTCCACTAAGTCTCTTGTACTCCGTGAGATGATAAAGTCATATTGTAGTGTTAATTAAGGAGGGAAAACTTATCAACAAGATAGTGAAGTCCCATCAGTTGAGACAGCTATGACATACGCTAAGCACAATAAGCTACAGCGTTCATCGAAGTGGAATTAAGTTGGAAAAGACTTAGGTGTGGTCAAAGGAAAACATGCTACCAGTCTATGAAATCTTTGACTTTTAGTTTGAGCCACGTGGGGAGGTGTAGACTGACATGATACTTTACTGCTAAGATGACATTACACGAACACACTGTGTCCGGTCATGGAATAGCTTCCATACTGACAGCATTAGTAAAAAGCTTAACGAGCAATCATCACAAACCTAAGTGACAGCTGCTCTTGATTTATTAAACGAAGCCCCATGGTTACAACTACTGCGACTATTTTTCTCACAAACATAAGCTATAATTTTAATAAAAGAAACAAAATAAAAGAAAATGTGTGACACCATTCATAAGCTAAAATGATTACCTATTTTCCTTAAAACCGTCTGAAGGCACGATGACGAAATAAAGAGTTCGATATTAAAACAGATTAAGATATGTGTTTATTATTGTAAATAGCTGATACTGATAAAATATTGAAATTAATTAATAACTCAGTTATTCTGCCTCATGCACAACCTTTCAAACAAAAACGCAAGGTCACTTTACAAAATGTAGAGTGCTAAATTGGATGCGCAAGTCTCAGAAGTTGCATGATAACCAACCAAAGGTGTCACTTCTACATTATGTGAGCAGAATCTGCATGTGAATAGTATAAGGCCATGTCAACTTTTACCATACATGAAACAACTAATTATATCTAATAAGCTAAATGAGGCAGTTTTAAAACAAATGTGGCTATAAAAACTACCGAGGTTTGTGCTTTATATCCTGATTATATCACTAAAATCTACTTAACCAGAAGATTCATTTGACATAGCAGACAAAACGACATAGGTATACCAAAACATTTGTCCAGTGTTAGTACAGTTACAAACCACCTCTGCTAACAATATAGGAAATAAGAATTTTATTGAACGTACAATCTACAATACCACTTCAAATGAACTGTCGTCAAGATTTGACCAAATAGTTCTAAAATATTTTATATATAAAAACCTCTGTTATGTTAATTTTGATTAATTTCCCTGAAGAAGTTCGGACCAGATTGCCGAACGAAACGTTGGAATTACTTATTTCAATATCGCTGAGATATTACAAATATAATTTTTTACAAATGTCTACTTCTCACTCAGCGCCCAAATATTTTAGAACTATTCGGTCAAATCTTGACGACAGTTCATTTGAATTATTTCGCTATCGAATTAAATTAACAAAGAAACTATGTAATTGGCACAATCATCGTGTTTTCAGTCTCCGTTGTCTGGAACAAAATGCACATCCTAAATCCGTAGCTGTCGAGTCACCTGACAACTCCAGTAGGTCAAATAAAGCAGCTCAATATTCAGAAAGAAGACAATGCAATAAGTTCGACAGGGTGCTTAAACTAAACTCTAATTCTAAACACCATAATTTTGAAAATACGTCTAATCATAAAATTCTATATACTAGCAGTTTGAACGGACATGAAGGTTTGATGTTAGCTGATGCATAGGAAATCCTGATTAATAAATAAAAACGGATATGTATGACTAATTAATAATACTTGGTCAAATTCCTGACTGTCTATATCTTCCTATGGAGACGTTAAGAAATGTTTTACAACTGTTTACACACACACGCATGCACACTCTGTTTAAAGTGTGTAACAAAGGTAGACCAATATTTGTAAGTCCGAGGTCAAATTTTGATCACAGCTCATACAATTTTGTTTATTATACTTGTTACTACTTGTGTTTATGAATCATGACTGGACAAAGTTTTTAAAAAGATGTGCCTTTTATATATAAAAACCTCTGTTATGTTAATTTTGATTAATTTCCCTGAAGAAGTTCGGACCAGATTGCCAAACGAAACGTTGGAATTACTCATTTCAATATCGCTGAGATATTACAAATATAATTTTTTACAAATGTCTACAATACCACCTTTGATGCTGCAATTAACCGAGTTAAAGGCCACTACCTCTAACACAGGCAAATTCCTTTGTTGTTCGACGTTCAGTAAGCATTTATTTGATAGAAGATAGTCTCTCAAACGGAAAACAACATAGAGAGCACATCAGTATCACAAAAGACGGTCAATAAATGTACTAAGGCATGCACTTTCAGTGAACAGAAAGTAGTATAGGGAAACTTTCTCGCCAGTTAGTAGTGATGACCCAGTGGTAATTCACTGGGAACTATTCACTCTGTATATTTTATGTGAGATATAGGGAATTGGGTGCGTTATTCTTGCTACATGCAGAAACCGAAGTCGATGCTATTTGTTGTTCAGTCTTTCCGTTCTACAACTCTAGCTTGGAACCTACCTAGTACCAGCAGTCAGACTTAATGTTAAACACACCATAATGCTGGTATGGGTTTGAGGAGGAATCTTCTATTAGTGCAATGGTTTTGGCTCCTTACCTACATTCTACTTTGACACATCACATTTCAACTGACATAAAAGAAAGTTAAACCTATCACAAGGACTACGTAAATATCTAGTGACTATTATAAAATCAGGTTTGCAACAATCCTGGTTCTCTTAAGTCAGTTATCTCTAAGCATAAATTTCATTCCTTATAAGTGAGGGTTACAGCATTACTCCAGGAAAATTTCAATGTTAAATTCATAACGAATAGTTCGATAATAAGATTGCAATGGCGAAATAGTGATTTTACAGGAAAGTACAGGGTACAAATGCTGAAACGCAACAAGATGATTGCGGCAACAATAAATAATGGTATATATAGAAGTTCAGAAAAAAACTTTCTTATTATGAAATGAGATCTAATTTAGCTTGCGTTAGGTCAAAATATATAAAGACTTTCACATCCGTGCGAAAGCATTTGGAATATATTTAGAGATTGATGAAAAGTATGGAAACATTAGTCAATTTGTCTCAAATGAAATTATATATGAGAAAAAAATGACCACACAGCAATCTTTAATGCACTGTTTTGAATGTAACCTAACTAAAATAGCCCCTGCGGTACTTATGGTGATATTACGTAAACTGCACCAAACAGCAGCAACCATCAATTCTTATTAAAACATAGAAAAACACTTACCAAAAGAAGAAGCAACCTTGCCTCAATGACCTTGAGTCAAGTTCAGCGCTAAAAAGTGTCACAAAGATCGATTTATAGTAATCGTCAGTTTCAGTTTCCAAGGTTGAAAATAATGAGGTTAGAATAAATCACTAAATCTACGATAAAGCATAACACTATGTAACATTTTTCAAACAAAAATATTTAAAATTTATAGTTCTGTTATTCAGGCTCGTATTATAAAATTACATTCTGAAACTAAGAGGCAAATTTTGAATATGAAGTTTCTACACAAGTAGGATAAATCTCATTAATCGTAATCATTAAATCAAAATCAGTTGTTCCATTTTTTCAGTCACCAGAAGGGAAGCTAACGGGATGATATGTGAACCTGGGTTCTCTTCAAAAAATTCTTGCCAAACACGCATTTTGTCCAAGTTCGGTTCCCAGCCTACTCACCACTAAAATCGGTAGAAGATTCGGTGGAGAGAAAAAGCTAGGGATGGCATTTGCAATCTCACCCCGTAAACAGCATCATCAATACTGGTGGAAATTAAGAACTTGAAAATTTAAGTTCAGTGTTCTATCCGGAATGCGAGGAAAGAAAAAGCTCAGGTATCAACAAGAACTCAATTATTGGTGAAATTCATGTAACGCGCAGTGACTCTCATGAATTTTCAAAACCACTATGATTCCCAGAGGTGTACTGGACAGAAATCGTAGCTCCTACGAATTTGTTATTCCTCAGGAACGGAAGACTCTCTAACCGGGCTTTTAAATGCAACTGGGCTTGAAGCTTCTTTTTAAAAGATCTTAAAGGGATATTAGATGATGTTTCCATTTTTCAGTCTCTTTTTTAATAATAATAATAACTCCCAACAACTTTATGAAATTCTGCCTTCCTATATGAAATGACAACGTAATGATCGTCAACGTACAGCACACCACACCATAATGTCTATCATTTTCAAGTCAGAAAGTTGTTTATCAGTAAATATATGTAGGGCACTATTGGCCAGTGATTCGAATTAAATATTTTCACACTACAACTGGTCAATGAATATTTTTTGATTACAGCTTGATACCACACCGTATCTTTTGGTACAGGTATGGAATTTTCAGCATGTGATATCGGTAGCCCAAATTTTGCTGACCGACCATAAATATCAGGTGTGCGTCGGTAGGGGATCAAACCCCGGACCATGTGCATGGTCGACGAGAATCCTAACCACTGTGCCACCGCTGCACAACCGGTAGCTCATAGTAATACTTTAACAACAGAAGACAAGGGCCAGGCAACAGATCGTTTATTAAGGAAAATCAACTCATTTATAGATTTTATTGTACATTATTGTAGATTATTGTTAGTAGAAAATACAGTCTTTTGATTGGTTGTTTCTCACAGAAAGTTAACTTTACACCTCTTTGTGGCTGTGTCAGATCATCCATATGCCAACTGTATTCGCCTACACAAAGCCTTTCTTCTAATTTTCTCACCCCCAATATTGGAGACATAAACATTGACGTCAATTACTGTCTACCAACTTTGGCCAGCAGCCAGCTCTCACCACAATACTACCTGCTTGAATCTAGGTTTAAAGGGCAGAGGAAAACCCCAAGTAGCAACAAGATAAGGGTTCTTCCTGAAGCTGGTGCCTGACAGAATTGTGTTATTACCAACGCAAAGTTGCAAAAGACAGCGTCTGTTCTGGTCTTTCATCACCTGTCACACAAGACCACCCAAATGACGCTTCTCTGAGCCTATATGCCAAATCCACGCATTCAAATCTCCAGATAGTGCTAAAAAGTCCGCTGGAGAGCCATTTCGCAGAAGCTCATTCGCCTGATAGTATGATTCATTCCCAGTCGCATCCAAGCTGGAATCCGCCAATGCGTAGCCAGAAATAACTAAAAAAGCAAGTCTTTTGTGATCATTTGCTTCATACTGTAGTATAACCTAGCATCACAATGCATAGATGACTGTTAGTAGGGGTTCACTCAAGTTGTGTACCACTGGCTCTCGAGCCTGTTGCGCCATAGACACCAGCTAACCTGAGTGCCTACTCTATAGGATTCGCTGCTAATCACACATGTTTTACGCCATCCGAACCCGTACACGAAGGTATTCGAAATTCTCCACTTGGTTCTCATATACAGGCCTCTGTGGAACCAAGCTTAGATGTGAAATGCAATTTCAGCATAGCCATGTTAGATGTTGCTCTGGAGTCCGAAATATTGGGGGCAGCTACCTGGCGACTAAAAACGGTAGGGATAATTCGGGGCCTCTGATAATAACGAACGACTGATTGAAGCGAAGACATCAGAAGACGTAATAGTGATTAAAAAAATATAACGAAAAGATTTATGTGAAAAACAAAACGAAAAGGATCCCACTGTTGGGTATATAGTTGACAAAGTGACTCGTGAAGGTGCATGGTGGGTGTTTCGTATTTATTCTTCCAATATTTGTGCGAAGGCTGGGACAGCAGTCAGATGACCTGACTGAAGTAGGGACCATTCACAGACCTTTTGGCTTAAAGTCCGATCCACACAATAGTGAGGGGCATCAGAAGCTAAGTTCATCTGATTATCAGAGTATATACTTCACCAAATCCTTTTAGCGTCCATCAAAGGTTTAAAAATCTGCAGTTTTCCTTCTCCTCCTCGTGGATCAAGACGTCTACCTGTCTGGTGACAAGCCCCGAATATTCTCACCTAATCCTTCACTTCATGGGAAACTCTAGCAGAAGCAGTGAGTGCCTGACCAAATGTGAGGAGGAAAGAGGCAACGAAGTTGACCCAATTTCGACCGAACCAGGTTTCTCATGAATCCAAATAGCGATGGGAACTGTTCTGACGAACTCCGAGCACGTTATGATTATCACTATAAATCCTCTTCAAACAGGTTTATGCCTGACCACAGCACGAAAAGTGAAGCTATTTGATAAAGACTGCTGACGTGTGGATATGTACGTGTTCCAACCTTTAACGGGACCAAAAAGATCTACTAGGTTGCCATTTTGTTCATTAGCCTCCTTTTTATTCAAATTTTTGGACTGAAATTCCACACAACATGTGTTGATCTAAAAACACAGAATTTCAGCAAGCCTAACAGTACAGCCGATAAACGCACAGGGCGCTACTGCATGAATATCTCTACATTTGCAGCAGGATTCACCGGACAAATTCCGCGGTTGAAGTTCTTGCCTAATCGCGTGGAAACAAAGCAGGAGCAGATGAACAAAAGCCAACATACTGCAGTTACGTTAGTGAAGAGATACACTGGCGCATATCTACTCAGTATTTGATAGGAGTGAATAGATGAGATTCCTGTTTCTGCTTTGAGCGGTGTAACTCTGTGTTTGATGTTGAATCAGTGAACGAAGATTCTCTCGAACAAACTGCATTTCCTCTTAATACTGGTCTCTACCCTACCTTGTTGTGTGATTACATGCAAGTGAGCGCATGGTGGCAGCTTAGATCTTTCTGGAGATTATTTAATTTAGCGGTGCCAATTAGTCTACATCTGGTTGAGCTCCTCTCTTCTCATAATATGGCTGTCCACGGTCTACTAGTTTAAACTAATTTATTCAACTCCCAGTCATTTGATAAATTAAGATTCTTTGTCCAGTCAGACCTGTTAGATATATCCTGTTTGTATCTATCGGGTGCTAAAACCGAAGATGTATGTATCTCAATGGGCTAGTTACATTGATTACACCTCCAAAACCACCCTTCTCAGGAATCCCACTCAGGTTATCTGGTATTCCTCCCTCACGTAGTAGTGCTGTCTATGCTCTGAATTAATTATCACTAATATCGTTTCCATTAATTACATCATCACCCTGCTTTGTTCTACAAGTTTTCATAGAGATGTGAATGGAATCTACTGGGTGGTTATTCACTAGTTATGTTTTCCACATTGGTTTAACTTCATAATTCAAATCCTGTCACTTACCAGTTAGGCTCCTGGCTTGAAAATAATTCTGTATCATTGCATGTTACATCAAGCCAACTTATTTATTAAGCCATCTGTTCCTCCGTAGATTTTGGTTCTGAATTTGTAGTATACGTTGCAATTAAAGTGGGATGAGATTTCGACTGAATAAAGAGTTGAAATGCAGCGGTGGAGAATAAGATTAAACCAGATAGTTCTCTTTAGTAGAATGCTAATAAAGAGAAAAACGTTTAACTGGACCATTCATGCATATATGAGACTGACTTACCTTATTAAACATCACGCTTCAAAAAGGAGGGTAGTAATTTTACGCCGTGAAGCAATTCCTATTTCCGTCGTGTTAATCGCATCAGCTAGTCAGAGAGAGGCAGTAAGCTATCATCTCTGTCCGAGTGAAAGTTGTACGGACAATCTGAATTCGCCTTTACTTATGAAGACGTAAGACTCCTCCTATCCAGGAAGTTAACATAGAAGGCAGATTAATGGAGTCAAGTGGCACCTAAAATTGCTATTAGGGAAAATTCTGTGCTACACCACTAGAGTGAGATTGTACTGGACCTTAGAGTAATGACCGCAAATGAGGCACAGTTTTCCAAGGAGTCTCGAAAATAAAAAAAGGAACGTAGCTTCAGTACAGTAAAATCAGTCGGTGAGATCGTTATGGAGAAGCATGTCATGTCGACTAAGTGACTGGTTCCTTTTTGTGGTAGGACCACTGTAGGGAGGGTTTGATGTCATATTGAAAACACTAAAGGGCAGGTGGACTTAGAAGGTGACGATGTCCGTGTGGGCGGACTCCAGATTAGGAGATGGGAGGTATCGATGATTACACAAGATACGCTGTTGACGAACGCAAGTTTTACCCTGTAACTCTCAAGATACTCGTTCTATTAAGACCAGAGGCAGTTAGAAACGGCAAATTGATTGTCCTAATTATGAGATGCATTTCGAAATCAGGAGTGTGCGGCGGTGACGATCGCCTAACCAGCTGACGGCTGTGCTGGAACTCAAAGCGACAGCACACCGTATGTTGCTCATGCTTGACCGCCTACCTTCCGTTAAACAATTGGGCTTAGACGGTGAAGGTCAGCACTGTATATTGAGTAGAGAGTGCTGTAGTC